GTTGTGGGGATCGAACTACAGCAAACTGAGGCTGCCAGCATTGTGGAAGCAGTCACTTAAAGAACTGAGCTAGGGCTGGGCCCCCGCAAAGAAATATATTTAAACCAAGTCTGTGAAATGACCTTTGTGGATGTCTATAGAGTATTCCACTACAAGATGTCATAATACATATTCTTCTCAACTGCACATGGAATGTTCTCCAAAAATAGACCACATACTAGCCCACAAAACATGTTAAAATAAATGTAGAGGAATTTAAATCACTCCTTGCACATTATCTTAGCATAGTGAAATGAAACTGCAAATCAACAACAAAAGAAATCACAAAAACTACACAAACACATGGATGATAAGCAACACACTGAACTACCAACGGGTCACGGACGAAATTAAATGTGAAATTACAAAGTATATCCAACTTAGTGATAATGCTCACACTACATACTGAAACTTATGGGATGCAATAAAATCAGTACTAAGAGGGAATTGTATAGCACTGAATTCTCACATCAGGAAAACAGGATGAGCACACATAAACAACCTAATATTGCACCTGAAGCTTCTAGAGAAGGAAGAACAAATCAAACCCAAGCTCATATGGAAAAAAAATTCTATTGGGCACTCGGGACCTCATGCCAAGAAAAGCCAGAAATAGTTGCTGTTTTCATAGAACTTGGGCAATTTGAGAGGCCATTGTGAAATGATAACACAGGTAAAGGTTTAGTTGCAAAGTGTAGTAGAAGGTAAGGATGTTTTGAGACCTTCAGCTAAGGAACTTATCCAGAAATAAAGGTGGCCAGAGAAAACTTTTCTGAGAAAATGACATTTGATCTGAGATACATTGCCATTGAATGATTTCAACTTCATAGGCCTATGGTAGGGACCAGGTGTGGACATTTCAGAAAACCTCCTAGGTACAGCTTCTAAGGTACAGTTAAAATGGTGACCCTCTCCTCACTGAGGGTTTCCAGCTGTATTATCATACAAATTGCCTTGGATAGTGCCAAAGCTCAGATTCTGACTCAGAAAATCAACTGTGCATCTTCAGGATGCCCTCCTGGAACACCACCTCTACCAATCTGTGCACAGCAACACGAGAAGGAGCTTTGCACTGCATCAGCCTGAACACCCTTCTCCTGACCACAAAGTCCATTCTAAATTAGGAGCAGATTTGGAAACCACCTCTTGGCTCCAGTGATATGGACTACAGAACCTGATCAGGCAAACACTTCAGCTCAGTGAAGCAGATATTGTTCAGCTATCTCCTGAATGTGTTCTCCACAGATGCTCTGTGCTGTGTTGTTGAGAGGGATGTGTGTGAGTGTGCTTTGGTTTTCTCCTGCCCTATGGACAGGGTCTGCCCTAAGGGAAGAATCTACATGTAAGTCACCTTTGTGGCCTCTGCCTATCACCATGTAGCCATTGTAAATTTAACGAATTTGTACTAAAAAATGCCAAATCTATTCAGGCAAGTCTTCCTGCCAGTTATAAAGATAAAGTAGATTTAAATTACCTTTGGACACGAACTTTTCATTTTCACTTACCATGAATATAGGTGGCACCATTTAAGTTTGTCATATACCTCATCACACAGTCCCAAGAAAATATAAAAATGATATTAACAGAAACTGCACATTGTAAACTGTGAAGTGTCACAGAATTTCAGGTGTCATGATACTAAAGTAATAATAGGAAGATACTTTTAGTTAACTTCTCAGTAATTTGAAAAAAAAACTATAGGGAGAAGTTGGGTTTTTTAAAATAAGAAAATTACCTGATAAGCATGATTTTGGGCCATAGAAAACAGGTCTTTTTTTTTCCTGAGATATATTCCAATTCCACAGCTTTATTATAAGCTTTTCAAGGATGGAACTTTAATAACTAATTTTTGAATCATTATTTAGTACTATTATTAGGACTTGCGTTCACAGGAGTTTTGAAGATCGATGGTAATTATTACAAAGAGGGCAAAGAGTGTGCCAGAATGGTGATATTTATTGCAAGGTCAAGGGATAATTCTCCTCAGAAATCTGTCCTGTCCTAGTCAAAGCATCACACACCAATTTTCTGTGTTAACTATAAATCCAATGAACTGATAGTTTGTAATTAAAACAACAAAATAATACTTATAGCGTGTTACCGTAGGCACTTTACATATATTGACTCATTTAAAATTCAATGATTATTATTAACTGAAATTTACTGGCTTGACCCCAAGGTTCAGAGAAGCTAAACTAGAAAATGATCTCTTTCAAGGAGTGGCATATTTTTGAGATACTACATTAAAATGAGAGTATTTCAGGGAGGCAGTGGAATGGAGCAAAAACTATGGCTGTGGAATCAGACACATGCACATGAGAATACTTATTTGGTTGCTAATTCTCTGCAAATTCTTGGGTAAATCACCAAACCTCTCAGGAATGCAGTTTTCTGATCTAAGATACAGGCTAAAATGATATATTCTGTTTAATTTACTTACAGTATTGCTCATCTTGGCTTGGGAGTGACAGTCAGGCATGGATAAGGTAGACTTCTGTGACTAATGTGATCAGATCAGGCAATTGTCTCCCCTCCCCACTTCTTATGTATCTGTGCCAGTTCAACTGCTTACACATGTGAACTAAACTACTAAACTTTTTCCCTCAGGTATTGTTTCCATCACTCTGGTAAAAGGCATTGGTGATCCTAAATTGCAGAACAGTTACACAAGTTTGTGGCCCATAGTCTTGTGGGAGGCAGTGAGGCAGGGAGGGAAGAAGAGAGGGAGGGGAGAGAGAGAGAGAGAGAGAGAGAGAGACAGAGACAGACAGAGACAGAGAGACAGACATAGAGAGAGAGACAGAGACGAAGACAGAGACAGAGAGAGACAGAGAGACAGAGACATAGAGAGAGACAGAGAGATAGTGTTGTATGAAAGGAGAGAAGGTTAGCACTCCACATGACAAGGATGGGAGAGGCCCGTGGGACTGACAACATGCATATGGTTAAGGCATTACCAACTACTTCATGGCATTTAATCACTGTTTTTCTGTATACAAGAAACACACTTACATCATAAAGAAATTCATAGGCTGAAAGTCAAAAAATGGAAAACAATACTACACACCCCAGCACCTCAGAAAAAAGCAGAGGTAGTAATCCTGTTTGCAGACAGTCTCAACTTCAAACCAAAAATGATCAAATGAAATAAAGAAAGCCACTACATACTGGTTCAGAGAAAAATTCAAGAGGAAGAGGTAACACTCAAATACATACGCACCAAGCATGGGAGCACCCAACTATATAAGACAAATCTTAATCAACATGAAAAATCTAATATCCAGTACCACAACCTTAACAGGAGACCTTCACACCCTCTTATGCCAAAAAGATAGGCTGAGTAGACAAAAAATTAGCAAAGAATTAGCAGAACTGAACAAAAACTTGGAACAAATGAAGTTAATGGACATATACAAAGTGATCCACCCAACCAAAGCTGAATATGGGACATTTTGAAAATCAGATCACATACTAGTCCATAGGAATGCTTAAGTATATGCAAGAAAACAGAAATTATCCCATGCATATTATCTGACCACAGTGCAATGACACTGGAAATAAATGACAAAAGAAATCAGAAAAATGCCATACAACACATGGAAATTAAACCACTTCCTCCTCAGCAAACAATGGGTCACAGATGAAATTAAACAATATCTACAATTCAATGAAAATTCAAGGACAACTTATCGGAATTTATGGGATGCATTGAAAGCAGTTCTTACAGGGAAATTTATAGCTATGAACTCACACATTAGGAAAACAGAATGGGAACAAATAAATACCATAATGCTGTACCTCCAACATCTATAAAAAGAATAGCAAATGAAACCCAAATCCCAAAGACAGGAGAAAATGATAAAGATTAGAGCAGAAATTAATTCAATCAAGATGAAGAAAATAATATAAAGAATTAATGAATCAAAAAGATGGTTCTTTGAAAATTAAATAAAATTGATAAGTCCCTAGCTAACCTCATGGAAAAGAGGAAAGAAAAAAATCTAAATTAAAGCAATAAGGAATGAAAAGGGTGAAATTACCACAGACCCTGTGGAAAATCAGAAGATCCTCAATAGCTACTTTGAAAATTTTTACTCTCACACAACAGAAGACACAGAAGCAATGGACTGATTCCTAGAAAGGTACAAATTGCCAAAACTGAATCAAGAAGATATAAGAACTCTCAATAACGCAGTAACAGTCAATGAAATTCAAAATGAAATAAAACCTTATCGACAGATAAACGTCAAGGCCTGATGGATTCATATCTGAATTCTATAAGAAATTTACAGAAGATATAATCCCAATACTCCTCAAAATTGTCAGTGAAATTAAAAAGGAAACGATCTTCCCAAATTTATTCTTGCAGGCAAATATTATACTGATAACAAAACTAGGGAAAGACACAACTAAGAAAGAGAACTACAGGCCAATGTCCCTCATGAACATAGATGAAAAACTCCTCAATAAAATCCTAGTAAATAGAATACAGCAAATCAAAGGAAGATTATATACTATGACCAGGTAGAATTCATCCCAGGGATGCATGGATGGTTCAATATGTGCAAGTCTATAGATGTAATACATTATATCAATAGAGTCAAATCTGAAAACCACATGATCATCTCAATTGAGGCAAAAAAGGCTTTTGACAAAGTCCAACACTCATTCCTGTTCAAAGTCCTACAGAAAATTGGAATAGAAGACCTCTATTCAATCTGATAAAAGCCATCTATGACAACGCAACAGCTAACATAATTCTAAATAGGGAAAAACTGAAATCTTTTACTGTCAGATCTGGTACAAGACAATGATGTCCTCTATCACCCCTACTATATAATATAGTTCTGGAATCATTAGCTAGAGCCATTAGACAACAGAAAGAAATAAAAGGAATAATAATAGGTAAAGAAGAAGTTAAACTATCATTATTTGCAGATGACATGATACTCCACCTGGAAGACCCAAAAAACTCCACCAAGAAACTAGTAGAATTGATACATGAGTTCAGTAGCATAGCAGGATTCAAAGTCAGTACCCAAAAGTGAATAACATTCCTCTACACAGGGAACAAACACAATGAGAGGGAAATTAGAGACACAATATCTTTTACAATAGCACCACAGGAAATGAAATACATAGGAACTAATCTAACTAACATACTCGATCTACTCAAAGAATATTACAGTACTCTGAAAAGAGAGATCATAGAAGATTTCACAAAATGGAAAGATATTCCGTTTTGGGGTTAGGAAGAACCAACATTGTGAAGATGGCTATACTCCTAAAATGGCTATACAGATTTAATGCAATCCCTATGAAACTATCATGAACATACCTCACAGAGCTGGAGAAATTATTCATAAAATTTATTTTGAACCAGAAAATACCTAGAATAGTAAAGTCAATCCTGGGTAATAAAGACAAGGCAGGAGGCATTACAATTCCTGACTTGAAATTATACTACAAAGTTACTGTGATAAGTTAGAATGGTATTGGCAAAAAAAATAGTCCTGAGCATGAAAGGAATACATTGTAAGATGCAGAAGCAACTACTAACACACTCAGCCACCTTCTCTTCCACAAAGTAGTCAAACATGCTTGCTCAAAGAAAGATGGCCTCTTTAACAAATGATGCAGGAAAAATTGGCTCTATATGCTGAAAAATAAAACTTGACCCAGGTCTATCACCATGCACTAAACTAAAGTAAAAATTGATTAAAGATCTAAACATTAAAACAGAAACACTAAATCTCCTAGAAGAGAAAGTAGCAGGAACTCCTGAAGACATAGGGGCAAACAGTTCATGAACAAAAATGAAACTGCATGGGTAATACTTGCAAGAATTAAAAACTGGGGCCTCCTCTTATTGAGAAGTTTTTGCATATCAAATGAAAATATCAACAAAGTGAAAAGACAACCCACAAATTTGAAAAAAATCTTAACTAATAAGAACTCAGACAAAGGTCTTCTATGCAGAATTTTTAAGAACTAAAAAATATTAGAGCCCCAAAATTAAAAGGCCCAGTCCAGAAATAGGCATTCAAGATGAACACACACTTCTCAGAGGATGAAATTAAAGAAGTGAATAAATATATGAAAAAATGCTCCACATCACTAGCCATCCGTGAAATGCAAATTAAAACAACATTGAGATATCGTCTCACTCCGGAAATAATGGCTATCATAAAGAAATCACCCAACAACAAATGTTGGAGAGGCAGTTGTGAAAAGGGAGCCCTTCTCTACTGCTAGTGGGAATGTAGACTGGTGCAACCATTATGGAAATCAATGTGGAGACTCCTTAGAGAACTTGGACTGGAAATCCCATTTAAACCAGCTATTTCTCTCCTGGAAATTTTCCCGGAGGATCTGAAAGCATCATATCATAGGGATATATGTGTGCCTATGTTTATAGCAGCACAATTTGTGATAGCCAAATCTTGGAAACAACCAAGATTCACATCACCTGAGGAATGGATGAAAACGATGTTGTAATTTTATACAATGCAGTATTATTCAGTTATAAAGAATGATAAACTTGAAGCCTTTATATTGAAGTAGGCCAGGGAGATG